GGGGGGGGGGGGAGGGTGTCCCTTTCAACAGTGAATATCCAGGTTACAGTTTTCATCTTTTACGTCAACTTTTTTTTTAGCTTACTAACGCCACCTAAATTGTTCATGGGAAATAAGATAACGACCGGTTCTCTTCGTGCGTGCATACGCGTCGTCGATAAAGCGTCCCGACGCTTCGTTCCATTTTTCTTTTATCCCATTTTTATTTCTTTTTTTTATACATATTTTAACCCCCCCCGCCCCCCTTTATTTCTTTCTCTGTCCTTTTCTCCCTTGTTCTTATATCATCTGTATGTATAACATATTCCTCCCTTCGTTTCTCTCACAGTCTTTTTTTTTTATTTTATCTATACCGACCGACGCTCGTATCCTGTGTCGTCGTCTCCCCCCGTAAAGAGTTATCGACTTATTAATGCGACTGAGAGACTCGGGTCAGGAAGGGACATCGATCCGACGGGATGCGCAAGGGTTTTGCTGGACGGGACGGGGTATGGCCTGACTCCCGACGAGGCGTCCCGACGTCCGACGCCACGGTACGAAAGGTGCCACGTAATAAAAAGGCAGAGCGCGCGTCGTGGCTCGCTAGGGAGAGGGAAAAAAAACCAATTACGAAGAATCCTCGCCCCGTAGAGTCGCGAGCAAGCGACAGGAAAATAAGCGTCTTGACAAATGAGCGTCGCCCGGAGTCTCGGCTCGATCCGGTCTAAGATAGCAGTAAAACCATCGGGGACTGCGGATCCTTTCTTGGGTCTTCCCATAAGGATGCGCCTATTTCGCGCTCCTGACAATTTCGCGTTTATACCCACGCGTTCGCGATGCCGTTAATACAACGTGGTGCGGGGGGTTCGCGCGTCGGTTTTTCGGCTGGTCTCGCGGTCGTTTTAAATAAAAGACAATCGTCCTATTTGGACTTTGTCACGCTACTCTTATTGACTCTGACGAACTACAGACACGAATTAAGCCAATTTACAATAATCGACGTTCCTAACGCGAACTTCAGGTGGGTCGAAACCGTGGCTTGTCTGCCAGTCACGATATATCTCGTAGCTATTTGGAAAATGGGTATCGAGCTTTTACGACTGTCTCCTGGCTATTTAAATAATTATACGCATTAAGCGCGTTTCCAACGCGCGATGATTGTACATATACCGAACGATCGTACAATTTCTGGATCGCGCAAATTGAGACGACGCACGAACTACGTGATATCAGCCATCTACCTGTACGACCGACGCTAATGGGCAGCAACTGTGCCGAGCAGTAAACGAAATCCTTAGACCTCACGATCCGATTCTCACGAAGCGTCGGATATTCAACGCCGGTCCGAGGTGTCACGTGACAATTAAAATTTGGAATCTTAAGGGAGGTTCTTTGTCTGTAAAAAAAAAAAGTGATCATTAATCGCACAATTTATCGGAATATAAATATAGGACGTCTCGTTATCGAAGACGCCCGGGCGACCCATCTAAACTGCAATCGCCCAAAGGTTCTTCACAGTGAAAATTCGCCGACGGGTACTGTCGCCCGACGCTTTCAGTCTGTCCTCGCCCTTTCGGGCCCCCGTCTTATGGAAAATTCGATATTCCCCGTTATAGCTCTTCGCCACTCCGAATGATAAATCGCAGCGAGACCCACTCAACCTGGAAACGTCTGGTGGCGGTCGCGGCCTTCGGGATTCTCCGGATGATGGGTCTGCGGAGGCTGGAAGTGGGTCTTATGGGGAAAGGCGGGGGTCGTACGCGTTATGGTGGTGGGATTCGATGAGGGTGGCGAAAGGCAGCGTCATTCCCGTCTTCTTCTTATACGCTCCATTTGGATGATTGCATCGTTACGACGCATTGATCCCGAGCGTCCACGTCGACGAGGATTACACCGGGAGCTGTTGTCGTTCTCCTGCGTATGCGCCCATATACCCATTGACGGGATTCCAGAGAGATTCCTAGATTCTCGTAAACTCCATTTCTGACCCAGCTACCCAAATTTCCTATAGTACGTACTATATGTGTATCCATATAAAGCAAGTAGGCACAGCTACTATTTCGTATCCTTTATGGAGCGGCACGCTCTTTTACGACGACGCTAAGTGCCACGACGCCCTCAGCCAAATTCATGGAAAGGCTCCTCGTCGATTCCTAAACGATCCGCCAGAGGGAAACCCGAACGCTCTATCGAAGTTTTGAGCTATATATATGTATATATAGCTGAACTGCCAGGTTCTCTTAATTATCGGTCACGCTCTGTTGCGTCTCTGAAAACAATTGTCTGGCACTTTACCTACTTATTCTACTGTCTCTCCGTTACTCCCTGTCTCACTCTCTCGCTCTCCCGCTCAACGGACGACGTCTGTCGATCGGGTGCAGGAAGTTAGCACCCCATAATTCGAAAATTCTAGTTATACTTGTTGTTCTGGCTTGTTCTAAGTTTGTTCTATAATGTTCCAGAAAAACAAATTTCTCAACTGAAATTTGTAGCGATGAGGCCAAAATAACCAATTTTTTACTGGAACCCCCCACTTATGGGAAATCAAACTTTTGTTGTTGTTCCAGATTGTTCTCGTTGTTCTAAATATTGTTCCAGAATATTCATACCGCTAAGTAAAGAATACTCGAATTGGACCATTCGAACGATTAGGACCATTTCGAACGATTTCCAGGTTATTCCAGCTTGTTCTAGGTTTTCGTAGGTGTCTGTAGGTTTTCCTAGGTTTCCGTAGGTTTTCCTTAGTTTCCCTAGGTTGTTCTATGTTTTTCTACATTGTTCCACGTTCTACCACGATCAGGTAGAACAGTCACATAAAACCAGGGAAACACTGGAAAAGCTGAAGAGGACGAACGCTCTCAGAATAGCAAGTGGATATAGGACCATTTCGAACGATTTCCAGGTTATTCCAGCTTGTTCTAGGTTTTCCTAGGTTTTCCTAGGTTTTCGTAGGTTTTTCTAGGTTTCCGTAGGTTTTCCTAGGTTGTTCTAGATTGCTCCAGGTTGTGCCAGGTTGTTCCAGGTTGATCAGGCAGGACAAACGCGTAAAACTAGGGAAACACTGAAAAAGCAAGAAGGACGAACGCTCTCAGAATAGCACATGGATGTAGGACCATTTCGAACGATTTCCAGGTTATTCCAGGATGTCCCACCTTGTTTTTGGTTTTCCTAGGTTTTCGTAGGTTTCCTAGGTTTTCCTAGATTGTTCCAGGTTGTGCCAGGTTGTTCCAGGTTGATCAGGCAGGACAAACGCGTAAAACTAGGGAAACACTGGAAAAGCTGAGAAGGACGAACGCTCTCAGAATAGCATATGGATGTAGGACCATTTCGAACAATGTCCAGATTATTCCAGGATGTTCCAACTTCTTCTAGGTTTTTCTAGGTTGCTCCAAGTTGTTCTCGATCTATCGATGATTGTTCTAGAATTGTACAACGATGGTGTAGTCGCATAAGAGTAGGAAGAAACGATTTTACATGCGTATAACGTTTTTTCGATCGCACTCGAGTATTCTTTACTTAGCGCTGTTAATATTCTGGAACAATGTCAATAAACTTCGAACAACAAAGAAAAGTTTGATTTTCGATAAGTGGGGGGTTCAGGTAAAAAAGTGTTTTTTTTTTCGCCTCACCGCTACAAATTTCAATTAAGAAACTTGTTTTTCTAGAACATTGTAGAACAAACTTAGAGCAACTCAGAACAAACAACGAAACCGGAATTTTCGAATTACCGGGGGGGG